CTGTTTTGGCTTTAAATTACATCTCACCATGCAAATGAGCACACAAAAAATGGATACGCCATAATATGACTTTTTAACCATACAAACATTTTTGAAAGCTCTGACTCTCTCTCTCTTTCTCTCTCTCTCTCTCTCTCTCCCTCCCTGTCTCTCCCTGTCTCTCTCTCTCTCTCTCACACAAAATGCGCTCCTGCCACACACACACACAGACGCTCCTCCGTGAAGATGACCACTTGCGTAGAAATCTTTTTTTTTTTTTTAAAGTGGGGGGGACACAAACGGGATTTTGAAAAGTGAGGGGGACATGTCCCCCCTGTCCCCAGTGGAAATTACGCCCATGACTCTGTGTATAATGACAATAAAAGGCTTTAACTTAACTTTAACTTTTATTTGATAATGAGTAAGCTAGAGCTAGGTTTTTAAGTTGGAAATGCACATCAATATATTCTATGTTTACCTTGCATTTTATTTCAGATTCAGATTAGGATTCTACATACTTGGATGAACATTGAATGTATATTAAATGGTAATGTGTCTTTGGCACAGACAGATAAAACAACACTCACCATACACCGTACAACACACACTTCACACACAAACAAATAAATTGCCTCTTAAAGTGACTAAGTGGATGTCATATTTAAAAGTTCTTCATGTGGTTTATTTTCCCAATTATACTGAATGATAAGATAATGGAAATGATCACCACAGAGTTTGAATTAATGTCCCTAGTAACCAATGTGTGTATAAACCCCTCTGCGGCTGCTGCTGATGGAGACTCACCAGGGATGTCTGAGTGCCATTTCAGTGGAGAAGCGCAGGCTGGGAGTTTTCTGCATCATGTTACGGATGAAGTCTTTAGCTGCGGATCAAAATGTGACACGTGTTAGGGCTGGAGCTGGGGGAATACATAAAGCAGCTGCAACAGGCTCTAAATGATATATGTGTTGATGCTCAGTGTAAATACCAGATTCAGAAATATCATCCCAGAAGGGCGAGTCGAACTCATACTGCGCCTTTATGATCTTGGAGAACAGTCTTGTCTCGCTTTCTTCGTAAAAAGGGGGATATCCACAGAGCCTGAAACACAAGCATTCAGTAAAGTTAGGAACGTGTTTGTTTCAATGCACACTTAATGTAAATAATATCCTACTTTTAAATGTTAGCTGTAATGGCCCTTCATAGTGTTTAATGACAGATAGTCTACAGATGTGTATCTTTCACCGTCAACATGCATATATGTTACTTCTTAGTTCTGTTTTTTTGTGATCTTATGTAAAACAGTGTGAACAGTAGATGGGTGGTGCTATGACTTTACCCTGCCTCATTGTTCTATATTAAGCTAACTGTGTCATGCATGACTGGCTTTTAATCTTGAGATCCACTTAAGAAAGAAAAACCCGGAGCTGATTTACAATCTTAAAAGTCTATTTGCATATATCTCTCTATCTTAGTCTAGTTATATGTGCCCACATTAACCCTCCTATTGTCTTAGTTCCCCCCCCCCTTACTTTGGTGTTCGCGGTCAAATTTGACCGGTCCTGTTTTAACTGCTATTACATTAACACAAAAACCATTAATCATCACCCAATTTCATTTAACACCCTTTCAAACTGTAAATATTGTATCAGACTACTGGTATACATGAACAACTGCAGTAAATATACAAAGAATAGACACTGAACATGTACTGCGTGTGCCAGGTGTGATCCATGTGGGGGGATGGGCACATAGGGGGGGGGAACATATCAAGTGTGTGTGTGTGTGTGTGTGTGTGTGTGTGTGTGTGTGTGTGTGTGTGTGTGTGTGTGTGTGTGTGTGTGTGTGTGTGTGTGTGTGTGTGTGTGTGTGTGTTTTATCTGATCCGGATGGTAACTGATTCCTTTTCTTTATGGCGGTCATGTTTGAGCGGGAACACCATGGGTCTTTACAAAGTTCACTAAATCATCCACAATTCAATGAAAGTGGTGATCAGCAATTGTATATGTTCAAATGTCTACTGTGAAGGATATCATAAGCCTTAATGCAATCGAATGTAAAACAAAAAAGTTATGATTGATGAAAGTAGTAAATCGGTCAGATTTGACCCGAACACAACAGGAGGGTTAATCAATATATATAATCTCTTATATCTTTATGTCAGAGAAAATGAAAGTCNATCAGAACTCTTTAGTTCTGATGAACTAAGTACAGATCGCGTTCACACCGGAATAAGTCCCTGGGGGTGGATTAGGCAAATGAAGCCGCTGGGACTCCCAGCAGCTTCTACTGAAGCCTTCCGAGTAAATCGCCAGAACGCCGACACCTCCTCATCTCCACCGCTCCCATGTTTTATTTTGTGTTGCCATAAATTAGTCTCTCTGCGTTTCTGCTCTAGGCTAATGCTAATAATGCTAATAAAATGGTGGCTTCACAACAATCTTTTGGAGTTTTACGGGGCGTGGTTTGCAATCCGCCCAGCCAATCAGAAATATAGCTCTTTTCTCACAAGAGAGCCGCATGAGAATCCCTGCTCTCTAGCAGGGACTGAAAAGGGGGTAAAAAGGTTCACATGAACTAATTTTAGTTCCGGCTCTTTTTGGTGTGAACGCGACATTTCGGAACTATATCGGAACTAAAGTGGGAAAAGTACTCGGCTATTGTTGACTAAAACATATTTTATTTTTAAAATGTTTCATGCGTTTATTAATAGATATTGTCACAGTGCAATGCTGCCAAGTTTCCAGCCAAGTAAAACCATTTCAGGGATGTGTATGGACATTTTTATTTTTAAATAAAGCACTCCTTCACTGGGACCCATGCAACTTGTTTGATTAATTAGCAGTAAGTCATATTTGGAAGGTAATGGAAAAATTTAATTCAAACAAATACAAATAAAAGTCAGATTTTCAAAGGCAAGTTAATTAGTGTAACATTCAATACATACCCACTAAAATGAAATCCCTTTTAGATGATGGGTGAATCAGCATTCATCATTGTCATTGTTATGAAACAACATTGAATCTTTAAAAAGCCTTCAAATTGTTTTTCTTTCTCAGGCGTTAGGGTAAGGGTTAGAATTCTGTCTGACAATATTTCACTGGTGATTCAATTGCTTTCTGCTATCTAAAAAGCTATAAGTGTAATGTTGGGAAAACACATTGTATTTCCAAGAAAACACTTTGTCCATTTCCCTGCACTTCCAACATTATTAAACTGGGACTGCTACTGCAGCACTTTGAAATGTTAACCGTGAATGCAGGCATTTCCTGTCACTCCCAGAAGGATGACCATAAATAATACCCACTGTGACAAGTTTTCTGTAACACCTGCTCTATGAGTGACATATTGATCTGTGCGCCCCTGTATTTCCCTATAACCCCCCCTGCTGCAGCGGTGCTTGACGGGTTGGCCCGACAGACTAATCAAACCAATGTTTCTGTTGAAGATAACACTTCAAAACCTCTCATAAGTGGGAAAACAAAAAGCAATTTGTCTTATTGTTTTGTTTCCTGAAAATGACAAATGGGCTTGAAACCTATTTGCCTCTTGGCAACTTTGGAAAACATCAAGGATAATGGAGGGAAATGTTCTGTGTCCAGAAACGGTTCTCCTTATGAAGAGCTTGCGGCAACATAAGGAGACATTGATAAAAAGCTCTGAGGCTCAGGGAGATGGAGGAGGACCCACGCTGACCAGTCAGTATGACTGATACTCCACCTGTTGGCGTGTTAGCTGCTTCACTACCACTTATCACTGAGTCAGTGGGAACTTGGTTGGCGCTCTCTCCTCATGTGGTGGGTGTGAAGCTGGACACACTATACGGGAGACAAATGGAGAGACACACATCTGCAGGTAGGACAAAGTAGTGGATGACTTGCAGGTCCCAAAGTTAATATCAAATACTTGTGAGAAAATAAATCAAGTTCAAGCATAAACTTTGTGTTTTTAGTCCTAAATAAGCCTATTAAATTGTGTTTCCATTTGAGTTGTTCACACACAGTAAGAGATACGATCAGAGAAAGGATGAATGTGAGCAACATGCTTACATTGTTGATCTACAGATACTAACACAACTTTAGTCCTGATCTATTTTATATTCTATGGTCCAGACCAAAACAAAGTCATCCTTTTTTCCATTTTCACATTATTCACAGAAGACTAATAGACATGTTGTTGTGAAAGGCAATTCTAAAGCTCCAGGGAAACTTCAGTAACTGTCCATTCACGTGTCCTACTAACCTGCTTTAAAATTGTTTTCAAAAGACATGCAGTGAGGAAAATGTGCCAATGTCACTTAAAAATAAAGGACTGTATTCATAGGAGCCTAATTCTGACTGAGCCCTATTAAATGAGCTCTCTACAGACATCTCCCTGTGTTCAAATAGGTAGAAAGTCCATTATTGAAGGTAAAGAGGGACAAAGTAGGCCAAGGACTGTAACAGAAAATAGACTGACTCGCTGAGGGGCCGGATCATCTCGGGAATGAACAGGAAGTGGAGATGGAAATGTGGGTTAACAATAATCCTCGAAATTACACAGGACACACAAGCACAGGCCCCCGTGGTTTGATCAAGGGAAAATGTACTTCATGTTATGTCTCTGAGGTTTCATACAGTTCAATTTCCAGGCACATTAACATCCATAAAAAGGATACAAGTCAAAGGTTTAGTGATGGAAGTGCATTTTCATTGTTATTCATTTAGTATTTATGGTGTTCATTGTGATTGTTTTTACTCTCTTTCTTAAATAACCTCTAGTAGTTTTCTTACACATTTGGATTTTATTACATATAGACATATAATTCTCATTCATATATTAATTGATCCACCAGAGTGTTGAAATCAGCTCCATCTGTATAGAAGTTTGTGCGATACATTTCAAAAGTCTTAGGGTGTAAATCTAAAAATTGCTCAGTCATAAAACTAACAAGTCTTACTTTGTTCCCATGCACTGCCCCCATGTGGTGATACTTGACACTGCAAGACCAAGTGGACTGTTCACAGATCAAATGAAAACAGTTAGTTTCAAAACATCAGCCAATCTTTATTTACAAGTCCTAACATGACAAAAGATAAACATACACACGTTGGTGGTGGGCTCAACCCTACATAGAGGTACAATGGTTAGAAACCCTTGACAAACAATTGAAACAAAGTCAATAAATTCCCTTTGGAAAATCCTCATTAACTAAATTCTCTGTTAACTGATTACCAGGACTAGTGAAGCATTTGGCAGACTAAGCTGTGTAAGGTTCAACATCTTAAGTACAGACACACGATATGTTTGAACTAGCATACCTCCATCTTCTCAGCTAGATGGTGTTCAACAGTTTGTTAAGTGAGGAAATTAAAAAAGGATCAAAGACAAGATGAAGGCCAAGCAAGACAATATACTTTGACTCCATTGCATACAGCGACACACATATGGGCACAATCTTGTTTCAATCTTTACAAAGCTCAATTTTTCAAACTTCAAAGCTACACTAAAGGACTCCCAAGTAAATAGGCATAAACGTGATAGAAAACAGAGTCGGAGTGGCGTGAGGAGGTAATCTTGTGAGGGGTTATTTTTAAACAAACATCATTCCGCATAACCACACAACTGGTATGTTTGCAATATTAAAAACACAAAAGCTGGGAAGTAGAGGATGGGGGGGGGGGGGCACATTCAGGAAATAGCAGGCAATGAGTGATGGGCTGAGAAAAGCAAACCCATGGCACTTTGACTAATATGGGAATAAAAGCAAGCTTCGGGGAAAAAGGCAATAGATGTGTGTTAAAGAGTCAACCAGAATATTCATCATCATGACCCACACAAGCATTTCACCCAACTGCGTACAGAATTATGTAAAAGCCCTCTTACTATAGCTTGTTTGTCTTTGCCCAAACTCAGATCACCTCTTTAATGTTGCATCATATTAAGGGGTTTTAGTTGGTAAACAGAAACAATCCACACCGGGGGGGGAAATGTGTCTAAAAAGTCCTGTACATGCTTGCATCTCTCAGTGACCGTATTTGAAAACCCAAACAATGAAAGGTGCACATTTCACTGTCACTATCATTTTACACCACAAAGTTCAAACGATATCATCAGCATATTTCTTCTCCTGTCATTTTGGGTTTTAAAATCAGTGTTGTGGGATTCAGTGACTATCAATCCAAATGTAAATCACCAACAAGAGGACAGGCATACAAGGCTCAGTGGAACACACTGTTTATGCTGTGCACTGTTATGAAAATGTGAACAGTAAATATCTGGAGTTGTATTTTCCACACACAGACACACACACACACACACCCTGTGATAAGATACAGTACATATCTGCATGTACAATAGATCAGCTTGGTTTGTACATTAAGTATTTTCAAGTATGTTAAAGGGCTTCTTGACACAACTGAAATTAAACAATTTTCTTGCATTTCTTCTGTAGAAATTACAAAAGGAACCAAGGATTCTTTATAGCGGGTTGGACAATGAGCTATAGTGTAATAAAAACAAGAAAGAAACTCAAATCAATACAGCCTGAACACAGAGAAAGTTTCCAGGCAGCAGACTGTTGGAAAATAAATGTAAAAGCCAATTTATTCAGAGAGAAATAAACTGGAGGCAATTATGCAGCGCAGTGCTGAAACCGATTACTACTAACAAGAGTGTTTTAGATACCCCTTACGCTACGGCAGCACTGTGAGGCTCACATTTGGTTTTGTCTGGGACCAAGTGTCAGTTTTGTTCTAGCTCTGGCAGACAGCTATTGCCTTGGGTCTGAGGAGAGAGGTTGTGGATCCATTGGTACACATTCCACAGGAAAAGGCCTACAAATAACGAGGGAGAGAAAACAAAAAACACAAACTAAGAACCCACAAGTGAGCTTAAACATTTTGCCACTGAATACATAACCAATGATAACCTATCACATGACTTCAAGGTCTCATTGTACAAAATATAAAAAACAAATTACTCCACAATCCTATTCTGACTTACATGGAGCAGCAGGATCGGGTATTGACGATAAACATGTGATCAGGCTACTTCCGTTTCAAAGCGTTAGTATCTTCTTCTTTTAGGACAAACTTTTTCCTCAGAGCTTCTGAAATAAGAGAGGCCGAGTTCTCCTCCCTGAGGGACGTACAGCCTCTGTTGTACCTGCACACCCAACAGAATAAAAACACGTATGAGAGGGTACACTGTTATTTCACATCATGTAGAAATATTAGCATATCCATAGGTTTAGAAGTACAGTTCAGCATTTTAGTAAATATGGCTTCCAAACAGTTAGATGGGAAAATTGATACCAGTTTTGTATATGTTTGGTAAAAATGACTTAGTCTAGGTCTATTAGTCTTTGCTATGACTTATAAAAGACACATGAAAAATAAAAGGGTTGAACAATGAATCAATATTTTATAACAATCCCTTAATTGATTAGTACATTGTTTAAGTTGCAGTGGATGCCATATTTGTTAAAGCAAGTTTGAGCTAATTATCTTTTGTTGTCCACAGCCATGAATAAATCAGATGCTCTGACAACAAAATCCCCCAAAAGTGTTATCGGGGCTGGTAAGGGGTCCGTCAACTCGTACCTTTCTTTGCTCATCTTCATGCGGTTCATGTCCTTCAGGATGTCCATGACATCAGCAAAGCTGGTGGACTTTGAAAGCGACACTGTATCCTCCTCTGCCTCCCGGAAATCCATGCTAGGTCTGTCCAGGTCAAAGGTCGCTGAAGCCGTCATGGAAACAGGCGGCAGAGGGTCGGGGACAAGCTCTGACACTACAGAGATCACATCTTCCTCTTCCTCATCTTCCTCTTCATCCTCCTCTGTGACATCACTGATCACAAAGGAAGCGGCAGCCGCGGCGGCCGGCTGGTAGGGCGCCGCCTCGAAAGGCGCCATGGAGAAGCTCATACTGGTGTCGTCTGGGGAGAGCAGGTCGGGGGTCAGGGGGTTGGAGCCTGTTATAAAAAAGAAGAGGAAGTCGGACTATGATAAATAACAGGGCAGCTTGCACCACTTTTCACTTGATTTGAATGTTGTATATAAGTATGCTAGAGCTGAGTGGCTCTACTCCAAATTACAATCAATCAATTTCGTTGCCCAAGCAGTGTTAAAATGTCTTACGAAGAAAGCGTTCATTGTTGTAACCCTTCCCCAGATGCTTCTAGTTTCACTCTACCAACGTCACAGCTTAACAGTATCATTGTTGGGAAACCCATGACACTTTCACTGAGCATAAAGACATGGACTATCCGAGTAAATTATTAACAGAATTAAGAAAGCAGGCTAAACAATAGTTTTTTTCAAGTACGCTTAAAATACGTGAATATGTGACACTTTCTCTTGATAACCCAGGTAAAAAGTTAAACGAGTGACACACAATAGCCACTGACCAACAAACTGATGCCAAGATATCTTAGCATCAAAGAGCTTAAGGAGACTCGGGCCAGCTGACTTGGCTACAAAGGGATCAGCGTGACATGAAGACAGTACATCAGTGACACACAAAGCAATCTGATCAGTCCCCAATATTCTGGGCAGCGTTATAAATCCTTGTCTGTAGAAACTAAGGATCGCCAAGTGTAACCAGTTTGTCTCCATCAATGTTTATATATACTCAGTGTTTCCCCTATATGTTTTCAGCACGCAAGCACCCAAGCAGATAAAAAAAAAAAAAATTAAATTTTTTTTTTTTTTATTAAAAGAATTATAAGTGCTGCCCCCTGGCGCTCGCGGCAACTTCGAGCCACCGATACGCGGGAAAGCTGTCATTTTCAGAGCTGAAGGAAAAGCGTATCGGTGGCTCGAAGTTGCCGCGAGCGCCAGGGGGCAGCACTTATAATTCTTTTAATAAAAAANCATCTGCACATTTTTTTGTGAGTTTGCAAATCTTTTAAATGCACTTGTGGATGGTGTTTTACATTTACAAATCACATATTTACACACAAATTAGTTTTATGTTGTAGTGGCAATTTCTTATGTTACCTTATATGGTAAAACCAAATGCTTCTAAAAGCATTGTCTAACACTACCATTTCTTGATATGTGCTGTTTTCTGTGCATACTCTAATGAGGGTTATTATTCTTAAGCGCTTCAAGGCCACAGAGACTATGTTGAAACTACTCCTCTCCACACAAAGTTTGAACTTCCATATTCTGATAACTTATACTTTCTACAGCTCAAGGACACAGGTGTCTAATAGCGATATGAGACATCCGTGTGAGAGCAGATTTTGTGAGGCGTTCCGCCATGCTACACAAAACTCTGTCTGCCCGCCCTATCTTGTATATAAGCTTTGCCATTCTGTGACTATTGCGCACACTCCTGCAGACTATCCTACAGGCCACTCTGTGAGACCTGTGCCTTTGAAGCTTCAAATAAATAACCAACAAGACAATGCTGTTTGCTTTCACCAGTTTATTATTGATTACTCTCATTGTACATCTTTACAGTATTGACGAGTCTAAAATATCCACGACAATGTTCACACAAATATTTAAGAGACAAATCTAAGCCCATAGACAGGTGTTGATTCAGCCCTATGGTTTAACTGGCAGAGAAACATCAGATGTCATCCAGCACACTCAATAAAATAAATATCACTTTTCAGTAACAATGATCGCCCACTCTTCTCTTTTCAGGAGTGACTCTCGTCCTCTGAAACACGAATGGCGGCCCACGCCTCTCCTGGTGCTCCACAGGAACTCATCCGTACCTAACTTCCGCCGCGAGGGTAAGAGGTTGGAGGGGCTCAGGAAGCCTGGGGTGACGGCGATGAACCGTACGACCGCCCTGCAGGACGAGCTCAGCAGACTCCGCTCACAGATCGCCAAGATTGTGTCAAGTGACTCTGGTGGGTTACCAAAGACAACATGAAAGTGTACAGAATATACAGTTTGGACTTATGATTTAAATAGTATCAGTGTTTCCCCTAGGATGGAGTCATAGCAGCGGTGCTAAGGCACGCGGGCCCAGCAAAATGTGAGCGCGGCGCGCGTGGACATTTTAAGTGTGTGCGCGTGCGAAGT